GCACGTTTCTAGCTTAAAAGACAGCTGCCCAGGTCTGAATATTGACGTATTCAGAATGCCGCGCTTGGAAAAGATGAAAAATCTCGTCCTCCAAAATCTTTTAGCAGTATTGGATCAGTCTTTCCTTGTGATGCTAAAGCAGCTCAGCCAGTGCTCACGATGAGCGGGCCAAAGGAGAAGGGTACCAGAAGCTGATGGAAGAGCAGGGGGGCTGCTGGCAATGGATGGAAGCAGCCCCCGGCGCTGCGGGGGGTAAAGGTGCCCTGCACAATCCCACGCAGGCTGACTGCTGGGAGGGCAAACATAGTCCTGCCTGTGCTCTCCAGCATGTGGGCCCAGTGTTTCTACGTTGTTTGCACTGAAGAATGTGGACGTAGGGACCGACGAGAACCTCCTGCTCCTTTGATTCTTGCCTGTGTTACCAGAGTAAGCTCAGGAAAGTTTTCACTTAAATTAATGAAACCAAGTAAAAGGTCTCAGTTCTCTCAGGAAGCGCTGCCGAGATAGCTACTAAGATTTCAGAGAGCTGAAATTTCAGTGAACACACAGTAGCCTTAAAGAAGGAGAGGAATCAGTAGCTTAGGGGGAGCATTAAATGAGTTACAACAAAAACAGCCAGTAACAAAACCACTGAGCTTGTGGAGCCACAGTCAGTGTCTGCTGACTGAGGGACACTTTGCCTGCAGGGATCCTGAGTGAAGACACTGACCCATAAGATCCTGGGAAATAAAACACATCCAAAGGATCTCTTCGTTTAGTTGGGTATGCTACAACCCGGTTCTACCTAAGCACTGGGGCAGGAAACCCAGCAAGGTAACAGACAGGCTGTACTGGTGCTGTGTAATTCCCTTCATAAACCCAACAGCAACGATCATTTTTCCGTCATTTAAACTTGTCCGATCAAAACTACCACAATTTCAGGGCTAAGTACCTCCCAGTCCAGGAGAACTTGACATATTTTAATACTCAGGCAGGATTTGGTGCATGAATTTTTAAATACAGCACCTGTATCGCCCTTGGCATTCCAGTTATTTCAACAAACAGGGAATTCCAGGCAATTGTGCCGTGCTGACTTTGCGCATTACTTTCTGCAGGAGAGCTACATGAGTGCCTCCATCCAGAAAGGAGATACTAGTGGGAGGCAGGGAAGGGCTGCAGCACGGCGTTGGCTGCGTGTGCGAGACGTAAGAGGAAATTCTTGTGAAATGACTGTCAAATGCCAGCTGACGTTTGCGAAAGACTAAAGTCTTCGTATTGCTTAATGTAACAATTAGATTTCGCTTGTTCTAAGGCATAAGCAGTGTCAGACAAGTCTTTGAAACTTTTCTCCCAGTTAATTGTAATGCCGCCGTAAGACATTTCTGCACTGTGTCGCAGTTCACTTCAGGAATCTCTTGGATAATTTTGACCGTTCAGTGCAAATCATGTTTGATGAGAACTGCTCTCCAGACATAGAATACAGACATGGGATTCCGAAAACTTCAGAATAGGTGAACTCACGACACCAAGATTTTAAAGGGGAGCAAAAGTCTGATCTCTCAACTTTTTATGTGATCTACTCATATTTCAGAAGTATTTTTTTAACTTTGAGAAATGCAAATTGAGATTGTCTATCTCCCTTACTACAAGCTATTTTTGAGAACTGTATCTCCCTAATGATGTTTGCACGTACAGTCTGAATTGGTTTCTAAATGGCTTCTGTAATTTACCCAGTTGCCTGGTTCACTGCGTAGTATTACTTCCATGTTCTGTGAAGGGTAGCATTAAAAAACAGTGAACATACAACTTTCAGAACTTTGATATGAAAAGCTAGGCACATTCTCTCTATGTACGCTTCTGCTACTCAGTTGTCCAGTAACTACGATGTTCATATAGTAAATACTGTTCCATTCAGTTGTATGTTTTGTATGCAACTCCAATACTGGTGAAACCTGTGGTGGCAAACTGTTGTTCTTTAATGCCTGTATCTTTTTTGTTACCTCAGATGCTTAGACAGAGGGTGAAGTGCATGCTTAATATTCAAGCAAAACATACGCAACATGCTCCTGCCTCTTGGAAGTCACTGAGTTTTGCTATTTGCTTCAGTGGAAATATGGTTAAGCTGCAATGCGTGCATTTAAGGAGCCGTGCTCTTCAGTGATTCTGATGTACAGAGCTGACCACTTCGCTGAAGAGGCCAACATGCCTTCATGTCGTACGTTCTATCCAAATGGCGTTACGTGCTGTGACTCAGCTGCCTGTGTGCTGCAAAGGACTCAAACCAACTGTCAGTAACGCTTCTCCACTAACTGTAAAAGATGTTACTTGTTTAATCACTGCACCTACTGTGGTTAAAATAAATGCCACTGCAAATGAGAGTAAAAACCAAATCTGAATTGTGTTTCTTCAGCTGCTGTATTGGGTTTACGTGGCGAGGTTTGGCAGCAGGGGGCTGCAGGGGTGGTCTCTCTGAGGAGACACAAGGGCTGCTCCCACGTTGGACACCGCCAGTTCCAGCTGGCTCCAAAACAACCCCGCTGATGCCAAAGCTGAGCCCATCAGCGAGGCTGGCGGCCCTCTGGGATAACTTACTGAAGAAATGGTAAACATGCTGCACAGCAGCTGGGACAGAGAGGAGTGAGAGAAATGTAAGAGCGAAAACTTTGTGTATGTCAGCATCAGTAAAGGAGGGGAGGGAGGTGCTCCAGGGACTGGAGCGGATTCCCCTGCAGCCTGGGGGGAAGACCGTGGTGAAGCAGGTTGTCCTCCTGCAGCCGCAGCGGACCATGCCTGAGCAGACATCCATACTGCACCCGTGGAGGAGCACACGCTTCCTCAGGTGGTGATTCCTGGAGGAAACTGCAGCATGTGGAGAGCCCACACAGCAGCAGGCTCCTGGCAGGACCTGCAGCCCATGGAGAAGAGCCCACGCAGGAGAAGGTTGTCCAGCAGGAACGGCGGCCTGTGGTGGACCCAGGTTGGAGCAGGCTGCTCCTGAGGGACTGTAGCCCATGGAAAGCACCCATGCTGGAGCAGGTCGTGAAGCACTGCAGCCCCTGGGGGGACCCCACACTGGCACAGGGGAATAGTATGAGGAAGGAGCAGCAGAGGCAAAGGGTTATGATCTGACTGCAACCCCCATTCCCCATATTCCTGCGCCACGGAGCGGGAAAGGAGGCAGAAAAGCTGGGAACTAAGGAATGGAATTGGGCCTGGTAAGAAGGGGAATGATGGGGAAAGGTGTTTTTAGTTTTGTCTTTGTTTCTCACCATGCAACCGTAGTTTTAATTGGCAATACATTCAGTTAATGTTCCCCAAGTCAGGCCTGTTTTGCCCATGAAGGTCGTTGGTAGGTGATCACCCTGTCTTTATCTCAACCCATAGGCTTTCCCGGCATATTTTCTCCCCCTGTCCTGTTGAGGAGGGGGAGTGAGTGCGTCTTGGTGGGCATCTGTCAGCCAGCCAGGGTCAGCCCACCACAGCTGCTTTGTGGAGAGTGAACTAAGCAAACAGGATGCCTTCACCCCGTTCCGGCTTTGTGGTTAATTAAATATCTTTCTGGATACGAGGACCTGATCAAGATAATGTTTTGTCCTCTGTTACATTGAACTGTTTGAACTTTACAGTTCTTGATGTATAAGAGATGACTAGGTTTATCTACTGAAAAATCATCAGTGAAGATCTGTGTTTAAGTGAAACGATATCGACTGTATTCACATCCCCTCCGCTTTCTAGAACTACTCTAGCAAGCCTAGTCAAAGATGATTGTGAATGGGTGTTTGAAATCTATGTTCAGTAGCATTTGGAACAATCTTTTTTCTTCCAAGAAGACAAGTATTTTCTCCAAAATCTGATTCTTAGAAAACATTGCCATCCAGGCAAGGAAGTGAAATACACTATGTGACTTGTGTGTCTTCCCAAACCAATCAATACAGATTGGTTTTCAAATGATGTATTGAATAACTTCACCCACTTGCTAATGTACTACCAACAGTTAAAAATTATTGCCAGACATTATATAATTTCAAATAATTTACTCAGCTCTGGATGTCTGTCTATTAGAGAATTTAATTGATTAATTCAGGATTTTTTAAAACTTGATCCTCATCCTTGAAGCATCAGAGGTTTTTTGAATTCTGTGACTCACAGTCATGTGTCACAAATTCACAGTGAAGAAATTATGAAAACCTGCAGTATGTACCATGTTCAGTGCAGATGTTTTTCTTTCACCATGAAACACTTCAAATTATATTAAAATCAGTTTAAGTTGCAGCATTAGTGAACAACCAACATTGTTCTACTCGTACCTTAACCCCTGTGCCGCACCTGCTTGCTTAGATTCATTCGTTTCAAAGGCAGGCACAGTATGTTACAAACACAGTATCTAAATGGCATGTACAGAACGCCCATAGGGCCAGGTTGGGGTCTATTTGCTAGATGTACAGTGTACATTTTAAGGCACACTATAGGGATCGAGTTGACATTTTGATAACTCTGTCCTTTTATTCGCAAAGATGGTCACTACCTGGAAATGTTGCAAAAATAAACGTTCACCTCTAAGAGCGGCCAATGTATTTGTTTTTAATTTTCTCTTTTTCTCAAGAAAAAAATGTGTGAAAACGTGATCTTTAGGGCATTTTAAAAGTAAATGTCAACTGCTGTGTCACATTTTATATATAGAGATATGTCTTTATCTAAATATATAAAATGATTGTAAGAGCTCATACTGTAAGCTCAGCTTTAGTACAGTACTTTAAACATACTGGTATGTATTTTCAGCTACACTTCTGCACTGCTTCTTTCTAATGCAGAGCTTGACACGGACGTGTCGATAACCGCCAACAAAAAGGATTCGTAAAGAATATTATTGTCTTATCATGCAATGTAGTAGGCATCCTGTGGCACTATTCTCTTACCCAACTTATTTACAGTACCGCCGAGTGCATTAGCAATAAATATTACAGTATTTGTCCTATTGGATTTTGCATGGCACCCAGCAGCTCTTCAGGAGCTGCGTCCTGTCACACGTGAGTTTCGATGAACGAGTGGGTGTGTGTCAGCATTGGTGCTGAGGTTGCATGGTCAGAGGCTCCATTCTGAGATTTCACAGCGGCGCTGTACTCACAAATGTCCAGGAAAAACTCATAGTTCTTGAGTTTCCAATCTTTGAACTTCTTGGATGTTAAGTTGGGATCATCCAGAAGGCTGTTGATAGCTGCGAGGTCCCCTTCCTTCGCCTGTCGAATTCCAGAAAGACACAGTACATGTCAAAATGACATTCCTGGGCGTTTTGTATTTCAGCACTTTATTTCTTCTTTCATTGCAACGCAAAGGTCTAGGGAGACTGCTACGGACAGTTGGGTCTTTTACTTGTATTCAGGAACTACTGCAGCTTAAACTGTTTGGCAACTCAATCCTTGGCACTTTCTACAATATTCCACAATTATTATTATTTTTTTTTTAAGCTGGAACATGTTTGTTTTCAAGTACTTTTAGTTTTGTTGGGACTTTATTCTAAAGCTACAAAGAAAGCCTCACCCGTGGAAAACATTAAGAGATGATACTTTTACTAGTTTGCTCACAGACAAGACTGATGATAAAGCCTTACTTTTAAAGTGCTCTTGAGAACTCTGATGTGGTGGAGCTTTTCATTGACAACTGGATCATTACATCGCTTTACGAAAGACTTGCGGAACTCCTGCTTGGTGGAAGGACGCTGCTCTCCAAAAGCTGACAAGCTGGCTTGTTCCAGAGATTTGTATAGCTCTTGCAGACCATCTGTGCTTTCTCCAGTTTCTTTTACGTTTTCTGAAAGAAAACAGATAAAGAAACCTACCAACAAATCTAATGGTTCAGGTAAAGTCTCTAAAACCAGCAAGCAATACTTCAAGTTAATATATAAAGTAACTCTACACCACAGTCTTCCAATTTTTGTTTTGGTAAAACAAGAGCATTTTGATCAGCCCCAAAGCTTTATTCTTAGCACGATATCTGAGCATTTTAAGTGCAGTGACTGATGAATTTGCCAACACACAACGGTTCAACCACACATCCTTGCTGAGAATAAGGGCAATATTGGCTTTCAGTGTCAGAAAAGAGGGTCAGAACATCTCCAAAAGCTTACCTTCTGCACAGAAACTATTATGCCTTCTAATAGGAACTTGCTCTTCCAGCTTGTCGTCTGTTCCCTCTATGGACTTTACACGTCCCTTACCCCTGACATCTCTGTTTCGCGGAAGACTTTGACTACGTTGCTTCTGTGGTCTGCTATGACAGCTCTGTCCCCTTTGACAATCCGCCAAAGGGAAAGGCCCGTCCTGCTCGAAATTATGGCGCCTTTGAACTGGGAGCGTTGCTTGTCTTCGTTTGTCCGGTGACATTCCGGGCCGGCCACTCATGTACTCTGCATCAGGAGGAACAGTCTGCAGAAAATGGAGCCCTGAACTGGTTAACGGAGTCTCTATCAGATCCTGCCATGAGCGTCTTTCTCGGTAGGGAGGTCTGCATCCTGACGAGTGTGTGCTTCCTGCTACATCTTGTCGAGAATCCTCAGCAGAAGAATGAGAATACGTTGATTCACTTGAAAAGTGTCGCCCGTGTTTGGCTTCAGGGAATGGACTTGAAGAATTCATCTGAAAAGATACAAAATCATCTGACTGTAAGGCGTTCTGAACAGAGCCAAGAACGTGACTACAGCGTAGAACATCATACGATACATACTGATAAAATGGACTGAGGTGTGTGTTTCGATATGCCATCGTATGAACCTCTAAACAGAACATCACTAGCAGTGACAATCTTTTATGCGAGTGCTACGTTTTAACCACTCCCTCTTCTTGTTTTGCACATTCTCTGCCCATCAGCAACTCCTGCTGGAAAGAACGGTGTAAAACTGGTACGGGTTTCCTGAAGACCTGTCCAGTTTGCACTCAGTCCAGCAGTGTGCTGTGAAGACATGAAAGCCCCCAGAAGAAACCATAACTGGGTTTCCTTTCTTTTTTAGGGGATAAGTATCCAGCCAAACAGAAAAAAAACCCCAAAAATCCAACCAATAAACCAAAACCAAAAAACAACAAAACCAACTTCAGCACCCAGGAAGATTTTTGAATTCTGGGGAACTGCTGAACTGCTCTAATTATTTTCATGAATTCTGCTGGGTCTGTGTATAATTTTCATTCAAAAACAAAGAGAAAGGCAAAAAAAGTGGAAAAAAGAAAGGGAGGGGCTTAACCTGTATCCCAGTTGATAAAACAGCATCACATGGGTGAAAATCAGTCTGAACTTCACCCATGTGATGCTGTTGTCTCAGTCATTCTTTCTTTGGTTCTGGCTGTGTGAGGATGGTGTCATTCACGCTGAAGAAAAATCTGAAAGAAAAATAGAGAACAGTCCTATCTGTGCTTGGAAACAGAATAATCATCACAGCCTATGTTCCGCATATTAGAAATGTTCTTATTTGCCACTAGAGCCTGTTTATATACAGAATGTGGGGGTTTTTCCTTTGTTATCAAAATATATTGAAGTATTTTCCTCAGCTACTCAGCATATTATGACACTAACAGAATATACTGCACTAGTACGGTATTGTACGCAGCGATTCCGTTTGTAAAAAAATCCTTGTCTCTGAAGAGATGGTCTTAAAAAAAATGTACTAAAACGTGATTACTGCATGAATGTGTTCTGATCTTAATCTCCAGCATCCAGCATCTGATATTTGTACCTGAAAACCAGTCTCCGTTAATACAAACTATCCCATCCACCATATACAGAATATTCTCATGTTCTGCAGTAAAGTCAACCTCTGAATATTGTTTGTATTATTAGGCATAATCTCCCAAATCCTACACAAAATGTCACATTTACAGCCTGGTGACATAGCTGGGAGACATTTACCTCTCCTTCCTTTGTAATTGTCTTGTTCTGGAAACATTCAGCCCTTAGCTCATGAGGAACAGCAGTAATTTCATCCTTACAATGAGATCCGTCTTTGTTCTGCCTTCAGGGTAATTAAATATTCCAAACCAAGGAAAATGCAAATCAAGGCAACAGGTATTTTTTGGTGACCTACTGTCAAATGCATTATTTATAACTCACTGAGGGTGTTCGGTGATAGGAGTCACACAGTGTGGAAGAGCCCTCCTGCTTCAGGGTTAAAGAGCCATCGATGTCATCCTGGTCGCTTTCACTCCAGTAATCTGCTAACAAAGCATTCCCGGTTTCACTCGTGAGCTTTTCCACAAGCAAGCATGTCCTATGTTTTTAAAATACCATCAGCACACAAAGGCAAACGTTTCACGGTCACCTCGGTGGCTTGGCAGTCGCTAGGGAGCAGACTTGTGAAAATGTCTGGTACCCAGACACACAGATGTGTAGAAGAACCTTCAAATGGTTCAGGATAGTGTTACAGAAAGCACTGAGGCTCCTAACTAACTCCCACTGTACCTAAGACCAGCGTCTGGTCACGCACGTTCAAAGTGCAATTTTGCTTGAGGTGCCACAGTAGAGAGCGGAGCCTCAACACTTAATTCAACGGGGTTAGCGTGACAGGTTCCACCAGGGCTGATGGCGAGAAAGGCAAGGCTGGCACCGGAGGTCAGGAGATGCAAAAATGGTTCTGAAGCACATTTTGACCTCTGTGACGTCTTCACTTGCTCTAGGGTGACGAGCCTACCCATGGCTGTGATCTAAGAGATCATACCTCACCCTGAACCTTGCAATTTTCTTCATCGCTTGTTTTAAATTATTCCTTAAAATGATTACTCAGGATTTTATTTTCTTTGGTGGTGGCACCAATAGATATAGCCCTTCAAGGATCTGGATGCTAATGAAAATCGATATTTAAGAAGATATGGCACATATGTTACTAAAGGGGTCAGTTACGACGTCTCCCCCTTTGTTTAAATAACGGACAGATGATGTACTCTTTGCTGTCTTCTCCTCTTTATAATCTCTGAAACATTACCTTCGTCTGGATGGATATCTTTGTCATCAGGCGTGTAACCAATTGCTGCGAGACCCAAACGATTCATCCATCTAATAGAACAACAAAAAATGAGGCAGGGATTTACATAAAAGGAACGTCTAGTGTAAAGGTGAGGGCACACACATTCTTAACATCTGGAAAAGTCAGAGGCAATGCTTAATCCAAAAACTGACCACTATTCAAGCTGTTAAAATCATGCTTCAGATGTGTTCAGTGGTTCATAAGGTTAAGTAAGTCCGTTGCCTAGAAAACTGAAGAATCACGACATCAATCTTCCTTATGTCATAAAGAAAATGCAAAGCATGAGTAGCAATATGCTAACCAGCAATGACTGAAAGAAAACTTGAGACTAGTCTGTGTAGAACAGAGAAAGTCCAGCTCTGTCTCCACCTGAAGCAGGATTGAGCCCGCTCTGAGCCGCATCCGCAAGCTGTCAGCGGAGGGTGGTTGTAAAGGAGCGGACTGCATTCACTTCCACGCGTGTCGAGGACTTGCCTGACTTGCCAAAATGCTATAAAATAGGATTATGGCAATAGTGGTATGAAAACCTGTATTAGGAAACACACTGTATGCAATTTGGATACTCAGAAATCTAAACTCGACTCCGGCAGCATTCCAGGGGTTATTTGCTAGTCTGGATTCACCACTCTGGTGGTACTAATGCTCAGGTTGGTTGAGCTGCCATGTGAACATTAGTTTCCTTGCAGTTTTTACTACATTAGGTTTCTAAAACAAGACTTGGTAATTTGAAAGTGCTCGAATATTTGGATATGACATTGGATGTTCTGGCTCTTTCTTTGTCCCCAAGTTAATCAGTTTGATCAAAAATAAGATTATTTGTTTCATTAGGAAGATATATTTTGGGGAAAATACCTTTAGAGTTTATGTAAAAATTCTGGATTTTTAAAATGTATATATATAAAGACAGGGGAAAAGGAAATAAACACAAAGAGAGAAAGGCACTTCTTAATGTTCAGCAAAAGGAAAATCAAGATTCAGCTTATTTTCGTCAACAAGGAAATACAACTGAAAAAAAAAGCCCTGTTAATAGACACCTGTAATGGTTGGGGTGCATTTTTTGGATATTCCCTTACTCAGTGACAAAATTATTTACTATAATTTCCTACATTAATTTTGCACCTACGTTTCCTGAAATAAATCTTTCTTTGTTTTTAACATCTCAACATAAAATTTGCTAATAATTACGTTCTCGGTTAAAGAATCATACCATGACAAAAACATCATACAAAGACTACAGGAAAGCCATGAGTAAACAGTACATACTACTTAATATGGACATTTTTTTTGTCAGATTAAAACAAGGAAACTATTCAGCGTAATTCCCTCCCACTTGTACTAGAACAGAAAAAAGCTGCTCAGGACATATGTGAATGTATTATCGGTCTAACAGCACAGTGGATGGAAGACGGTGTACACAGCAAGGAGGCAGGAAATGAAGGAAGAGTGAAGTCCCCACTAAAAATAGCACACAGTTCAGCATGTATTGATCTCCTGGTCCACGCCACACTCTGCAGCTGCTCAGAGCAATGATCTTAATCTGGAATATTGGACATAACACTGACTCATTGTATCGCCTTCAGCAAATCGTTCCATCTATCATGACTTTCCTAAGTATCCAAAGGGGACAAGCACATTTATTTCTTACTCACACGGAATTGTTATAGGGTTTAATTTACTTACAAAACTATGAAAAGATAAGGATTTGTATAATAATATTGCTTTGCCTTTCAGTATTAAAATGGAAGAGAGCAAATTGGAAATAAAATGGAAATGGTGATTAGTTTTCACAAATATCAGCTGCAGGGTTTGGACCGCTTACGGAGATGCTGTTTGTATCAACATGTCAGCTACTCATCTTTATCATGAAGGAAGTAAAATTCAAATGGATTCAGGTTCACTGAAAAGCTTTATTTTTACTACAGTGCTCACCAGCATAATTTCATTCAAAAAGTGGCATGCTGATCCCCTGACGTTTGCTTCTCATGAAAGGCAGGTTCTTTATTGCAGTATTTGAAATGACATCATACCCTTGCTCATTATTAAGCATTTGTAGTCACTAGTTTTTCAACAGTTGTTCCTGAATTTCTAAACTCATTAGCATTGGAGCAAAACAGTTTTAGTCATACTTCACCATATGCCTTTGGCAATTAAGCAGAATCCCTCAGCGACTTCCACTAAGGTTCTGCTTAAGCATCAGTGATAAATTAGGACTCATTACCATTTTCAAAGTTAAACCAGACTCAGCTGTTTCTGTGGTCAGTGCACGGAAATGTATATTATCTTAAATACCTTGCCAAATATATCTCACTGCTCATTGTTCATTTGAGGGCTTCAGATCTTGAAAGCATATATAGATAACAGTCAAAGTGTTAATGCTGACCTTCAGGAGAACATGGATATTCTTAGTGTACACGGAGTATCAGCTTTACCCACATGGCCTCAATGTCCAAATCTGGAATTAGCAGAAAGTAATCTTCCTTCGCAAAGACTGCTCAGGTTTTTCTCAAGGAGAAAAGAAGATCCCCAGCTATAGTTACAAGTATTTTCTTACCTCATTTACCATACTTCAGGGTTAGATTTGTCAAGACAATGAAAAGGGTTATCTGATGACATTCAGTGGCTTATAATGATAAAATCTCTTCTGATAAAATAAAAAGGGTTGCAATCTTAGGTTTTGTGTTTTTTTTAAAAAAAGCATGAGTGAATGTTTTTGAGGTTAATCAGGAGCTATAGAAGGGCTGAGATTACAGATCCTTTTCTTACAGTTATTTTTTTCCCAAGGAAATGCAAACTCAGTTCAAAAAGAACACTGTGTAAACTTGAATTTGCTTGATAAGGAAACCATTTTCATTTGTGACAGGCAGTCAAGGTTATAAAAAGTTCTCTGTGCAAAGCTTGGAAACTCAGCCATTTGGTTCTGAACTCTGAATGCCTTGTAGGCAAATGTCAGGTTTCAGGAAGGCAACGGTAGCTTGTGTCAGAATTGGAATCTCTGGGGGATAGATGACTGCATGTTTAATTGAAGGTCACGCAGTGCAAGACTATATACTACACCTGACAAGCAGCTACAGTGAAAAAAAAACCCAGGAGATCGTTTGTCTAATTTGGTTTATATAGCTGCTCCCCTAATAAATCTTCAAATTTCATGTGATCCCAAAAAGACATGAGATTTTCTGGCAGGTACGTGCATAGCATTCTTACGTGTACATCCCTATACATCACGGACCCCTGCGGCAGAAAGTTGGAGTCCTCTTCCCCCCAAAACCCCTACTTGTTTTCTTTGACAATTTCAACAACACTTTTCTTTTGATAATTAACTTAGTGTGTTTCACAAAGTTTGAGCCTAGGCTGCTCAGTGAAGCACAGGGTTTGCATTCTAGGTAGAAATCAGCTGTGATGCACATGGAGCCATACTCTATATCCCAAGGATGCTTTGCTACAACATGTTACCTTCAGTATCGTACATCTCCATAAGCCATAATATCCATCTTACTGAGGTACACTCTAACAACCTACAAGGGACCAAAAAGTGTGTTAATTGCTCTTTATTGGCAGGACCTTAGTGAACCAAATGCAGGGAAAGGTAAGCCTTAAGTAGAGTCATCTAAATACATTTGTACTTTTTACATTGGTTTAAATTCTAAACAAATCAGTCTTGTCTTGAATTAATTCTGTTGATTACAAACAAGCACTGCTGTCACAGCTTCAGGATAAAATATTGCTGCATGGTAGGAAGTTAAGTTAAATTTACTGAGATAATTCTGGTTAGTACCAGGGGACTGCAGCCCAGGGCCTCTTCTGAGAGCCTGATTCTACCCCCAGGCCGGGAAAGTGATGGTTACAAAGGAACTAGGGGCAGTGATGCACTAAGCAGCTGCGACAATAATCAAAACTTGATACTGAAGTGTAAGTCACGCTTGAAATGCCCTGAATTGTCAGGAGTCAGGAGCGCATTCTCTTACTGATCATTTAATAAAAACATTGGAAAAACGTTAAAGTGGACCAAACAACCAGGGAAACACTTTCATGTAGCTTTACTGTCCTAACACGCTATGTCAAAACCAAGAATATGCCATTACTCCTTGTACAAATGAAGCAAGTTTCTGTTTGCTGACTCACTCCTGCCAAGGATGGTGATGAGCCAGCCCAAGGTCAGTGCCAGGCTCTGGGGCCGAAAGCAACAATAGTGGCATCACACATCACCCACTGGGCTACTCCTTTCCACAGTAAAGTAGCACAAGGGAAAAAACCAAAACAACTTGGACAATCTCAGTTATAATTAATTTGAGGAACTATTACTTTTAGTGTAAGAGAATAAAAATCAAAGGCAAGAGGGTAACCATTTTTATAAAAATGAGGTGCAAGGCTGTTATTTTTAGAGTTATAGTTAAAACCAGTTCATAAATCCATGGAGAACAGGTCAGGATGTAGTGAGTTTCTGTAGTTCAGGTAAGTTTTATTTGGTAATATCCTCAGTGCTGGATACACTTTTTTTGCATATATAAGGTGGCCAGTATGTAGAAGAAACTATTTGCCTCAAGTGAAAAAGTAAATAAAGGATATATCCTGGAAAGGTTTAAATTTAATGGTCTATCCACTTTCACTATTTCGTTCTGTTAAATGTTCCCTTAAAAATTAAACCAATGAAATACCAAGACATTAAAGATAGAATAAATAGCTATAATTTCCTCTCTGTCTTGCATCTTTTCATCAAGTACTACTCGCACTTGTATGTCATCTCAGAGTTGTATTGTAAATGTTTTAGTGCAGGAATATATCTTTCTTCACTTTTGAGATTGCATCTACACTTGAGATTATTTGGTTAAAAAGAACAAACAGAACTAAAGTGGAAGTTTAACTTGACTTAAGTTATCTTAAAGTCTATTAAAATATAGTTTCCCTTGAGCTATTTTATTTTTACACCTAGAATTTATTCAGCACAATTTATATTTAATTTCTGATTAAAACTGTATTTTTTTACATCAGTGAGATAATCGGATTCCAGAATTCACTGAAAAACTCTCTCCAA